CATATATTATTTTAGGGATTAAAACACAAATATCCCTCCAGCTGGCTGATAAACACCATTACTTCTACAAGGGAGACCTAAGTTCTATTCCCGTAACCTTCATTTTCCTCCATTGGATCTATGAATTTTAATCCAAGCCAAGGATACTATTGGAAGCCTTGCTTTCTTTCTCACTCAGCCATCTCCTAACTTTAACTTCTTTCTTGGCCAGAGCTTGCTTTCTGAATCAGATGCCAAGATTTTGTTTATCAAACACCTTTTGGTCACCCAAAAATGTCTAACCTGACTCGGAGAGTTAGATGCATATTAAACAGGACCGACTTATAGAAAACCACCCAGGAATGGCTTAGAAGCAGTTTTGTTTACTTTTTATGGATAATGACATAAAAATTCTTAAGTTTGGAGAAAGGTGCATATTTATCATTTTTTGAATTTTTGGTTCACTAAAACTCGATGTTTGTAATTCTTTTTCTGAATATTCACTCTATAAAACCGAACATAAGTGCCATACTAAAGCTTTATTGAATCAGAAAAATAAACTGAAGAGCTTTTATGAACCAGAAAGAAAAATAAAACTGAATTAACCAAAAATATATAAAAGGATAAAATTAAAAAAAAAAATACAAACATCCAATTTTAATGGGTCTAAAATTCATAAAAAAGTAAATCCACACAAGTTCATTTTAGGCTAGATGAAGTGATGTCACTAATATCGCACTCCCTTCACTACTATATAGACACAACATCATCTTTTACCACACAAGTCTGGTTCCTTGCCACACTTTTGTTTTTTGTTTTTTTTAATAATTTAATTTAAATAAAACTTCTTTTTTAATAATATAAAAAAACGTAAGTTTTCATTACTTCAAAATAAAAAAAAATATTGCATTGGATTACTTAAAATTAAAAAAAAAAAAAAAAAAACATAACAATAAAAAAAATCCTACAAACTTAAAAAACATATATCAAATTATTATAATTATTTAAAAAAATACAAATAAAATAAAATGTACTACATAAAATCATTCTTCGAGAATTTGTATTCCGAGTCATTTGGTGGATCCATATTAAGGTTAATGTGTTGAATCTCGTAAATGTGTTCCACCAAATGTGTGCGAAGATTGTGAAATGTTTCAGTACAATGTATCTCTACAAGGGAGACCTAAGTTCTATTCCCATAACCTTCATTTTCCTCTATTGGATCTGTGAATTTTAATCCAAGCCAAGGATACTATTGGAAGCCTTGTTTTCTTTCTCAATCAGCCATCTCCTAACTTTAACTTCTTTCTTGGCCAAACCTTGCTTTCTGAGTCAGATGCCAAGATTTTGTTTATCAAACACCTTTTGGTCACCCAAAAATGTCTAACCTGACTCGGAGAGTTAGATGCATATCAAACATGACCGACTTATAGAAAACCACCTGGGAATGGCTTAGAAGCAGTTTTGTTTACTTTTTATGGATAATGACATAAAAATTCTTAAGTTTGGAGAAAGGTACATATTTATCATTTTTTGAATTTTTGGTTCACTAAAACACGATGTTTGTAATTCTTTTTCCGAATATTCACTCTAAAAAACCAAACATAAGTGCCATACTAAAGCTTTAATGAATCAGAAAAATAAACTGAAGAGCTTTTATGAACCAGAAAGAAAAATAAAACTGAATGAACCAAAAATATATAAAAGGATAAAATAAAAAAAATACAAACATCCAATTTTAATGGGTCTAAAATTCATAAAAAAGTAAATCCACACAAGTTCATTTTAGGCTAGAGGGAGTGATGTCACCAATATCGCACTCCCTTCACTACTGTATAGACACAACATCATCTTTTACCACACAAGTGTGGTTCCTTGCCACACTTTTGATTTTTGTTTTTTTTTAATAATTTAATTTAAATAAAACTTCTTTTTTAATAATATAAAAAAAAACGTAAGTTTTCATTACTTCAAAATAAAAAAAAATATTGCATTCGATTACTTCAAATTAAAAAAATAAACATAATAATAAAAAAAATCCTACAAACTTAAAAAACATATATCAAACGATTATAATAATTTAAAAAAATACAAATAAAATAAAATATATTGCATAAAGTCATTCTTCGAGAATTTGTATTCCGAGTGATTTGGTAGATCCATATTAAGGTTAATGTGTTGAATCTCGTAAATGTGTTCCACCAAATGTGTGCGAAGATTGTGAAATGTTTCAGTACAATGTATCTCTACTCTTTTATTCATATACTCGTCGTCACAAATTTCTATTGATTGTGTCTCAGGGATGGTTTCTTGAACATCATTCGCACATATCGCTCTTCCTTCATCTTCAATAATCATATTATGCAATATGAGACGTGTATACATGATTTCTCGAAGTTTTTCCTCGTTGAAATAAATTGTTGGTTTTTTCAATATGAATTAATGTTTCTAAAGAGCTCCAAAAGACTGCTCGACATCCTTCCTAGCTGTTTCTTGAGCCTACTTGACATTTTCCCGCTTACAACAATGTGGACACGTAAACGATTTAACAAACACAACATACTCAGGATATATCCCTTCAACAAGATAATAACCATACTTATATTGCGTTCCATGCACTTCAAAAGAAGAATCCGGTGTAGATTCGTCATATATGTTGTTAAATATAGGTGAACGATTAAGAATGTCGATGTCGTTAATCAAACCAAGAGATCCAAAAAAAACATGCTACATCCACAGACCCTGTGATGCAACCGCTTCAAATATGACTGTTGGGTGACCATTATCACTTCAGGTAAATTGACTATGGTATGAGGTCAATTTTCCCATTCCCAATGGAGATAATCTAAACTTCTTATCATTCCAGGAAAGCCATGTACACTAGCTTGAGGAGGTTGCAATTGTAAAATGTCATTATGTGTAGGCTTATGTAATATTTTGGACTATAACAGTGAATCATAGTTTCGCAAAAATAATGGTGACTATCTCGTACAGTCCTAGAAGACATCCTAAAACTCTCGTCCAACACATCAGGCGTGATGCCATATGTTAATTGATGAAGTGCGACTGTGCATTTTTGTAAGAGAGTGAAACCAGGTGTACCTCTAGTATCGGAACGTTGTTGGAAAAAACTGCACTCCCGTATTACATCTTTAACTATACGTTAGTATAAACGTTTGAACTTTCTAAAGCGCTTACGAAAATAGTACACTTGATAAGTGATATTCTCGTAAAAGTAGTGGTGTATCAAACGTTGTCCGTCTTCTTCACGATTTCTATATATATATATATATATATATATATATATATATATATATATATATATATATATATATATATATATATGTGTGTGTGTGTGTGTGTGTGTGTGTGTGTGTGTTTTCTCTGTTGAGAATTTTCAACTGCATTATTGCATAAAGCGGCATACGTTTGTTCCGTCATTTGATCACAAACAATAACAAGATTTAAAGTAACTTGAAATTCTTTGGAAAATAAAACATTCTATTAGTTTTGAGATAGAAAGCAATAGAAAAATCTAAATATTTGATTTTGGTTTTAACAAATGAAGATAAATAGTTTAATTTATGGGTAAAAAAATTAAACCTTCAATTTTTTTGACCGTTTAGCAGTAACTTTTCCTATTAACCAATAACAAAATGCGGCAAAAAAAAATGGTGCGGCCAAACTGCATCCAAGACCGCAAGACCGCATAGTACAATAGTGTTCGGTGTCTATGTGGCAAAAGGTGGGGTAGACCCCACTCCCCATAAGACGCACCTCAAATTCAGATGTAGATTTTATAATTTTGCAAGTCAACTATTTGGAGTCAAACTGCTTAGATCATCGGGTGGTGGGCCCATGTGGTCCAACTTACTTGTCAAAATGGATAAAGAGCCTTCCCTTTTACAGTTGTATACCCTCGGAAATTTGTGGTTTGTGATTGTGGGCGTACGAAATGTACTTTTAGTTTGTTGACAAAATTCTCAAATTTATGACCTCATTCATTATATATATATATATATATATATATATATATATATATATTACAACAATAATAACTACAAGGCTCTGTAGAAAATATTATATATATATATATATATATATATATATATATATATATATATATATATATATATATTACAACAATAATAACTATAAGGCTCTGTAGAAAAATATAAATCCAATGGTCAAATATAAAGATTCAAGTAAGACCATGTTTTACATAAACTAGTTCATATTTTGATTTTTTTTTAATAATATACGTTTTGATAAGACCACTAATGTTTTTTATGAGCTAATTTTTTTTATTGAGACAAATTATAGAAAAGCTAATAAGACATTATGATATAGATATAATAATGGAAGATAAATCAGTCCGGAACAAATTTAATAACTCAAATCTCTCAAAACAATATATATAATTTACACATCTACTCATAAATCTATATATTTCATCATCTACATCAGATTCAACTCTTAACATTTTGGATGATTAGTTTTTACAAAATATTATTAGTTAGATAATATATCAGTAAAAATAATTAGTTTTTTCAGTTAAAAACTAATTTTTTCAACAAGTTTAACTAGTTTTTTCAACAACTCACACACAGTCTAAATATGAATTCGCTTATAAATAAAGTTGACTTCAACAATAAAAAAACATAGGTATATTTTTAGCGAATAAAATACTCTACTTAAATTATGCTCAGACTTAAAGCTGCCAAATAATCTGTGGCACAGAAACCCACTATCTTGTACCCTTAAAGTTCGTTAACAAGATTGAACAAATTTAAACAATTCTGAAAGTACAAATATTCCCACAATCTGCCACGTATGCATTCACTCTCACTCATTTTTTCATTTTGCCACGTACCCGTCATTGATGACCCGAAATTACTCTTTATTGCTCCGTGAACATTCATCCTTCTTCCACCCTATAAATTCACACCCTTCTTCTCCCAAGCACTTCATTCTCATAACATTTGCAGATAACATTTAGTTTATTAATGAGAGAAAAAGCCATGAGTTCTCTGATGGGTTTCAGAAACAATGGTGGCGATGGTGAACGGAGGGAAGAGAAGAAGCCTGCAGCCCATGCAAGCTCAAGGAAAGGCTGCATGAAAGGCAAAGGAGGTCCTGAGAACGCTTTTTGCACTTACAAAGGTGTTCGGCAGCGGACCTGGGGCCGGTGGGTTTCAGAAATCCGTGAACCCAACCGTGGCAGCCGTCTCTGGTTGGGAACTTTCAGCTCCGCCCGTGAAGCCGCCATAGCCTACGACACTGCCGCCCGGAGACTGTTTGGTGCTGATGCTCATCTCAACCTTCCTGATGAGGCTCCGCCATCACCATCGCGATCCACTGCTACCCGGAGAGCCGCTGAGTTGGCTGCCGCCGCTGTGGAAGCCGAATACAATAGTGTCCTCTTGGAGATGAAAATGAAGAAAAAATTCGAGAAGCAAATAAAAATGCAGATGTACATGCTGATGTTGCACCACCAACAGCAGATGAAGATGAAGATTCAGATGGAGATGGAGATGCAGATGCAGATGGAAGCTCAAGGTGGGATCCCTGGAAACGTTATGGAGTCCGAATCACCTTTCAAGAAATTGAACTCTATGTTGCCGGAGTTTGATGACTCGGCCATGTGGGAGGAAGCAGCTTCCACCATGGATTATCATTCTCAGGCGATTTGTGATCCAGGAATTGCGGCTTATACCTTTAATGATGCGATCGGGATTGAGCTAAAACACCCACTGCTGGAGTGAGCGTCTTCTTCATGTTCCATTATCTGTAAATAAATAAAGTTTGCATGGATGCTTATAGTGGCATCTTCGTTTAGAAGACTTGCGAGTTGGTAATGGGACACGAAAAAAATTTGGAATAAAGAATTAGTATGTGTGTTTATAAAAAAATGTGCATTCAAAGAATGATTGTTCGACGACCTTAAATAATACAAAAATAACAAAACCGTAAAAGAAATCATTAAAAAATATATACTTGGATGATTCACTTTTTAATAAATCAAGTTTTGATTCATTTTTGTGATTAATTTTTCAAACAATTTTAATGAATTATCACAATAATGATATCTGAAACATTTTAGAGGGTAATAAAGAAAATTTGGTTTCATTTACCATCCTAACTTTCTTTCGATTGAGAAGGATTTGAAAAGAAATAACAAACTGATTAATTTTTCTTCCATTTCTCTCTAACTCGAGAAGATAAAAGAAAATTTTGTTTTACTTTCTTTTATCTCATGATTTTCTTTTCTCTTCCTTTCTTTTATTTTGTTAAACTCGGAAACTAGGCGTAAAACTGAGATTTCTTGATTTCCATGTTATGCAAGCTTACAAGTTCGTGTCCAATACGGAAACCCGATACCACGTCGTAGGAAGACATCACTACGTCGTGGCCACGCTGAAAACTATAAATAAATCTGAAGTTCAACCTTAATGACATATCTTACAACATACTTTGGTTTTTGTGATAATACAACTTAGAGATGTCGTTTTTAGGGGGGGCGTTAAACTGATATGTAGGGAAGGTCTGACGAATTTGAGAGCTGATTCATGATATGAATCATTCGGTTTGCTGTTCTGACCATGATTAGCATTTCATTTGTTTCTATCTATCTTTTTACTTTTCTGAGGTGTTACAACCTTTTGCTTTGTGTCTGAGTTATATGAATTATTGAGATTTTGGATTAAATTATTATTTGGATAATTTATTCTTGCTTAATTTATTGTGTCAAATTTGATTGAAGATCCATATGTATTAAAGATCGTTACTTTATTATCTATTGCTTTGTTTATGTGATTAGAAGACCAATATAATTATATTTTCTTGAATAATTACTGTAAAATAATCATGACTAGTGTTTAATCAAAACCTAATGTTAGGTTAATAAAGTTATAAACTTTAACGTGTGTATGTTTTAGATGACTATTCTTGGCATGATTTACTTCTAATAACCTTTAGGATTAATAAAAATCAAATCTTGCATGATACGAACTGAACAATGAATTTAGGGATAATTAATGGCATGAAGATGAAATTAAAAGTCCTTAGAGTCATTTGTATTCATGTATGGACCAAACACACGAATCAACATAGGAAAAGATGAATACTGAATAAATAATCATTACACTAAAGAATTCTAATGTAATCTTTAATCAAGAATTCTAATGTTAATTCACTAACTTTCTCCTTGAGTTCGACATCATTGCTTATCAAAACTATACTATATTCGATCAGGTTCACTGCCTGTAAGGTGCCAGTTTAGATGTGATAAGCTAGGAATTATAAATGTAAAACTAGTACATTAAAATACACATTAGGTTTTTAATTCATCATTTATATTTTATGTTCATGATTTGATGTAAATTAGTCAATTAACGTAAAAATTAACTAAGATCCTTTATGAACAATAATCTAAAGGATATGGTGTTAGTAGACTATTACTGAAATTGATTAAGGTTAGTGTAAGATGTTGCCCCTAGGTATTATCGAAGAAATTTGTTGAATTTGTTGACTATGATATTAATTGCGTGTTGACAATGATGGTTGAAGATGTAAAGTTTAGATGTATAATTATGAGAGCAATAATGGTAGTATTTACAGTGATGACGAAATATGTGAGACTTTGGGTGTTCAAGAAGTGTGAACAGTAATGTGTTCCGTTACAATGTTGACTAAAAAATAATAAAATTTAAGAGATACTAAAGTTCTATCCCTGAGTTGCTTTTTAGGAAAGAAATGAAAAAAAAAATTGAGAAAAGAAAAATCACAATCCCTGTTTTTTTAATGTTAATGGAGGGAAGGGAAAATAAGATTTTTTTTTTTTTGATAATCTTCATTCCTAACTTTTCTCCTAAAATGGGAGGATTTGGAGAGAAAGTAAATATAAGACCATCATTTATCAATCTTATCCTTCAATCTAATATAAAAAATCATATCACTTCCATAACCAACTCAACTTGAGTTTACGGTCGTAAACCCATGAGTTTACGACCGTAAACTCTTGGTACTTTGACCATTGTGTGATTTGAAGTCTTACAAGTCATACTAAGCATCCATACTTCATGTTTAAGCCTTAGGGAGTGTTTGTAGCATCCATACACTCTTGAATTGAGTTTTCGGCCCATGGACCATTTTGACATGTGTTTGCGGCCGTAATCACCTATGGGTGATGGTCTTTGGATTGTTTTGAGTCCTAAACACATCAAGGTAAGGTGCTAGGCTAGTTTCTAGGCATAAGGAAGGGATTTAGGGCATCTTTGCACCATAAAAGGGTATTTACGGCCCATGAACATGCTTGGCCGTAAACTCTCTTCCAACCTTTGATTCTTAATGTTTTTAAGTGTCTAAACATGAATCCTAACTGAATATGTAGTATAGGGAAGAGCACTTACGATCTAGAGGCTTGAAATGGTTGATATTGGCCAAGAACACTAGTGTGTGTTCTTGGTGTAACTTGAATATCTAAACGAACATGATTTTCATGGATGAAATCAATGTAAGAAGCTAGATTAAGAGGTGTATCAACTAATAAAGGATGAATACTTACTAGTTTTGAAGATCTAGGGTGATTGTTGTTATGATAGTTGAGAGAGAATGAAGGAAAATTGGCCAGGGAATGAGAGAAATGACTTAAAATGACCATTTCTCTTATATATATGCTCTTGAGTTTACGGCCACATGAGTTTATGGTCGTAAACTCATGGTCTTGTGGCCGTGAACTCACTTAGATGAGGTTAGGGTTCGTTTTGCTACATTGTGGTTCTAGCGGGTACCTTCTAACACTTATTCCTTAAGTGTATTAGGCTCGAAACTCCTTAGAATGACCTGTAACTAGGCTAGAACTCTATACTAATGAGTTTGACACTCAGTTGAGTTGACTGATTGAGCTTATAAAAATAAAATAAAAAAAATTGGGTTGTCACAGAATCTGATTAGCAATCGTCGCTTTCAAAAGCCGCTGTCGAACTCTGATCTTATTAGTAACACATCCGTTAGATAAGGGATCAAATATTCTTCCATTCTAGAAATCATATGAACATGAGACATGGATTATAATCATTCTCTCTGACCATGTGTTGTTTCCCGATTTCTGATTTATAACGACTGACAATAAACTACAATTGAACACATCAACTTAGTCTAGGCTTGGCCAATCGCTTAGGGTGTCATCACTAAATCATCGAGGGGTCTACATATATCACTTTTATTCCTCTTAGGGTAAAAGGAACGCATAAACTTCAACTCATATGCTTGTTTTGTTTACTCATCAAATCACAGACAACAATATGTTTTATAACACCAAGTTACTGGCACGTTTACATATTATTAATGTGCAACCGACTTGCAAACTACAACTATATGTCTCTGTTTCAAGAATATAAGATATCATCATCTCACAATCACTCGTGATAAAATCTATGAAATAATTCACGTGAGCGTGCGTTTAATCCAATACTCAAATCTTATTTCAGGAGCACTCATGAAGATTGCAACAGACTTTTGCTATGTCTAAACGATTTAGACAATCTACAGTTAGATTCATGACAGTCTTACATCATTGCCTACTTCCAAAGTATGATTGACTGTGGATGTTTGAATAACCCCAGTTATTCTGGAATTTAATACATGCGAAGTGAAACACAAGAATAATTGAATCCAATATGGCCTCTAACTTTTGAGTATAAATAAAACACTTATTATTTAATCACCATATTTATTACACATTATTCATTGTATAATGTTTCGGTTAATCAATTTAATATTTGAATTAAAACAATAGTTATCCCATGCTCCAAGCATGCACACTATGTTTATCTATGGTCCTTCTTTTGTGAAATAGATCAATTAAACGTATTTCTAGTGACACTCATTTCACATTTTCCAAACCTTATTACAAGTGTAAGAATACTAAATTCTTCCACTGTTAGAATATGTTAGATTCTAATATTTTATGCAATTACACTTTTGTGATTTCACAGCACCAAGGTCACAAAGACTTTGCGAATGATATTACAAAGTGCTCTATTGGATATCGTTACAAGACAACTCCATAGATATGAAGTATCACATTCAAAGTACATTCCTTTGAACATCCTTCTTGCATAAAAGTTTCTAACCTACACATAGATTTTTAATATCCAACTCCCATTATTGAATCCTTTCCAAATTTCCCACATGACAACTCATTCTTAATAGAATGCTATCTATTCATAATAATGTCAATATGGTCCACCCACTAGTATACTTCCAACTGTCCTTAGCAGCCAATCCTTGGCGAACCTTAGATCGTCCTTGACAGTTGTTTAACTACTTTAGTCATATCAAGTTCTATTTTTTCCCCCTCTTAATGTCATAGGCATTTGGAAAATTAGAACATGTGATTATTATAGCATATGCAATCGATCCTATACCCGAGGCATATGAGATAAGATTCATAATGTCTTACATAAAG